TGATTACCAAATAACTAAGTAATAAATTAAAATTTAATAAAATATATAAAAATCAATGAATACATATTTAATTAGGAAAATACAATTTTTTTTTTTTTTATTTTAATCAGATTAGATGATCTGATATAATTAAAAGGCTAAAGACCAGTACTGTCACTAATTCAAAACTTTTGATGAGTTAAAAGATTGGTGGTTATGTGTCCCCCAATTATTGTCAAGGAATCTAACAAATGTTTATGTAGTTTTTTCACTGAATTGTTGAATTGTTAAAGTAATGGTCCCATAGTGATGTTTTGGATCCAATCATCAAACATGGCCGCCGCCAAATTGCAGTTGCAGATGTCAAAACGCCATTCAAACTTTTAGTTGGTCTGAAAATCAAAATAAAATATTTAAACTGACTTGGGATCAACTATAATTACTTCAATTAAGAACTAGTTTGTTTGAATTGGATACTCGGAGGGTCAATAACCTGTATACTCATTGTGTTCCATTTCAGAGCTGATAGAATCAATCCAGAGTGGGTGGAATTACATAAATCAAGGGGCATTGAAACGTATGCGCATAAATTATACATGCGATCCACTGGTAAGTACAAATCTTGCAATCAAGTGACTGTATCACTCATAAGTCACTCTGTACAACTTGTCCAAACTGAACTTCTTCACCAGAGTGTTGGACATACAGTATAATTAATCACACCTTGCAGCCGTCCTTTTTAAAGTTTGTGATTTTTGTTTCGATTTAAATCACTGAAAATCTGCAACAAAGTGATGCATATTAAAACATAGACCTCAGACCTTAAGGTCTATGATTAAAATGATCTTTATTGTCTGTGAATGTTATTCGCTTTTCATTCGTTTCACTTACTGTAAACAGTGTTTTATGATTATATCATTTCTATTTTTAGTAAAATTTTGTGATCATGAAAAATTGTGACTACAGGCAAATTTTTGCTGACATTTTGTGTATCTGAAATGGTAAATAAGGTCCCATTCTATTTTACTATGGAAAAATGCATTGATTGATTTTTGTTTTTTCCATTTTCGAAATCCCTGATGTTGTTTATTTGCGAAATTGCGTCATTCTTCACGTTGAACTTTTAAATCATTGACAGTATAGTAGAACTATAGTAGTATACTGTCTATGGGTAAATAGGTCACTTTCATGACTTCTAATAGTCTACACATCCTGGTATTTTTTTAAAATTAATATTTATGCACAATTTTCTAGGCTGGACTATTTGTTTTAATACCTGGTTAGAACAACCAGGGAACAACAAAATACATGAAAATGCCCCAATTGTGTATGTTTGTGATGATGTCATACCAACAAAAGTACCAGGATGTGTGACCTTAAAATGATGTCACAATTTGTCATTTAGTGTGACATATTGAATTATTTATATTTTCAGTACTGGTAGCAGATTTACTGATATACATACCAGCGGTTGTGTTGTATTGTTATATTACATTGAAAGACAAGACTCCATCTTATAGACTACTATCTTCTGCCGTTATTTTGCTGTACCCAGGCCTGATGTTAATAGATCATGGACATTTCCAGTATCCTTTTTCTGTCTAAATATTAACCTGTTTTTAACAAGATAAAGTTTTTGGCCATGTCTGAGTTGTGGTCTCTGTATAGCAAGTTTAAGCTTAGGCACTTGTGTGTGTGTGCATTATTTGTATCAATAGTGGTTGTTGTATCTGGCTTGTGATCGGTAGAATCAAGTTCAATCGTATCTGGGGTTGAACATCAAAAATATTTGACCCCCTACTTTGGGCGAGTCTGCCACAAACACAATAGAAAACTTAAAACAATTTACCAAGATTCATTCACGAATGTCACTTTGGGGGAATCCTGGTTTAGGTCTGCACATGCTTGTGTTCGACTGGGCCTGTTTATTACTGTTAGCAATGCACATTTCAAATTAATGAACTGATGATATCATTTCAAAATGAACAATATGTATAGTATCAAAGCAGACTTGCGGTTTTTAACAAGAAGTCGAAAATATCACTTTTTACCAAAAATGACAAAAATATTCATCAAAATTAGATAATCCACATGCCTATGGACATTTTTTTGTCACATTTATTTCTGGTATCTGTGGAGAGTTTCTGCAGGCGATATGTTGATGCCATATGATGCCATAATGATCACATAGCTCTGTTACATAGTTCCAAAACATGGATTGTGGTTTCTGTGGCAAAATGCACCATCAACACTTGCAAATTACACATGAATAAAGTCAGGAGAGACAAAATGGTGACATTCCAACTTTTGCCCGGCACAAAAATGTTATCATGGTATACAGTAACACACCACAAGGCTGGTTCCAACCAAATATGGCAGACTGGTGGCCATTTTCATAATTAAAAGTGGCAGACATTGATCTGAGCAGTGCATTGATGGATTTGATCAATCTTGGTTTATACATCGAACATTCAAGGAAACTTGATGCATACCATTTTGTGATGTGGATCTGATTTGAAATGGCTGACTGGCAGCCATTTTGTTTTGTTTGAGGGTTTTACCATAGTTACACCTTCCTATGAAGCCTGGGTTCCATATGCAAATTTTTTTTCAATGTAAAATTGTTATCTTTAATTCATGTTTTGTAAAGATATAATTGTATATCATTAGGCCTGACTTTATGGGCTATTATAGGAATGCTGTCAGGCCGAGAACTACTTGGTTCTATGGCATTTGTTTTAGCGCTAAACTATAAACAAATGGAACTTTATCATGCTTTACCATTCTTCTGTTTTCTTTTTGGAAGATGTGTTCAGTTAGAAAAGAAAGCTGGGTAAGAAATACTGTAATTGTATTAATTATTCACTACATTTTAATTCCACTGATATTTGACATGTAACTCTTGTTCCCCTGGCTAACTTCAACTCTTTGAGTGCCAAATTAATATTTCACTCAAATAGGGGTAAATTTTACATTTTCTGTAATTTTCACTGAATTTCATCAAAATGTGACATTTCTTTAGGTTTTCAATCAAAAAAGTTGAAATTTTTATTCACATTTTTTGTCGAAAAAAACAGACTACAAATGTAAATATTTGTGGATTGGTCATTTTCAACACCCATGTATTCTTGTCAAGAAACAACAATAATTTAGAATGTTTTTGTGTTTTTGAACTTCAATGAAAATAATTTAAATTTTGGTAGCGAATTCGTACCCCCAAAAGTACCAGGATGTATTACCCTGCGACGGCGGCGGGGGTGGGGTGATGGGGTGTCATGCATAAGGCCTATGCAATGGTCATTCATCTATAATCTTTTAATTCTTTCCCAGTGGCCATTTTGACTCATAGTGCAGAATATTATCATGCCATGTGTTTACAGCATTTTGAAACTATTCTTAGTTTTGGAATTCTTCTCATTTGGTAGTTTATGGAAGCTCATTAAAATTGGATGTGTTGTCATAGTAACCTTTTTATTATGCTGGTTACCATTCCTTGGTGATTTCAACCTGGCTTCCCAAGTCTTACACCGATTATTTCCATTTTCAAGAGGGCTTTTTGAGGTAAGTAAATATCTGAGGGTCTTTTGAGTAGTTACATGCATAGCCACAAACACAAAGCGCTCTAGGTTATGCGAGTGAGTGAAAATGAGGGCGTTCACAGGGTTGACAGTTGTCATCCATTTTACGATGAAATTTATTACAAAAAAAGCTTGACAGTTCTAAGACAGGTAAAAAATAAAATGGTAATGAACTAATTACCAGTTGCCATGGAGAGCATCACCATTCATAATGTATGCACAGACAATCTGATCATACATGGCCAGTTGACAGCCATTTTGTTTTGATGTCCATGCCATGCCATGTTATTTTTGTTTGATTGCAATGTTTGTGTAGATGTTGGCATAGTGAATACTGTTATATACCCTATATATAAAATATGTTTTTGAAATTCAGTCCCTCACCTCCTTGGCTATTATCGCCAATTTTTCGTCGCCAGAGTGATTTACATTGTCAATTTTGGTTCCCTGAGCATCTCTAATAAATAACCTATATATCTGCTGAACTGAATTAATGATATTATCAAAAAATCATAGAAGATTTGGCGAAAATCGGTCGTTTTTGGCATTGATGTATTTGCGCTCGGAAACACAAGAGCAAATAAGACTTGATTTTCAAGGATGCAGGTGTTTCTTTTGTTTCAATTTGTTTCGTTATTTTTTAGTGATTTTGATATGCCAATCGGGCAATTTTAACAATTTCTTACTGGAGCGTCCCGTGTATAAATAGTCCTTTACTCTCCAAAAATTGACAATGGTACTAGCCCAGAATTAACTTTCTGTTCAGCACGTCTTTGATTGTAGCAATGTTTATGACACTGTACAAAAATACGCACACTCACGAATTTGACAACATTCACTTGAGCGTTTTAGGATAGTGGGAATAGATGGAAATACCAGTTACATCACTCATGAAGATTGATGATTCGATTGCTGGCCAGGATAGATGTATTTAGTGTTCATTTCTATGCAATATGTCTACACTTGCGCTGTGGCCAGCGACGGCTGACAGACTGCTGGGCAACTAATTTTTTCGTTTACTTTGTCGCATTTTGTATATCCCAGTCAGACACTGACAGTAAGTAAACTGATCTGGACATAGTCAACATTGGACTCTGAAGGCTCTGGAGATACATTGTAGCGTCATCGTATTAGATTAATAAAACAAAATTTACATTGCAATCTCATGCTTCCGAACAATCCAACATTTATGCTGGATAACAAAGTATACATGTGCTGTCTACGATATACTGCAAAATAGAAATAATATACCTATTTAACCGTTGTTGGTTTTTGTACAAAATTCCAAGAACGCAAAACAAATAAACAACTGACAACAATCGACAAAACAAAAAGACAACTGCCGAGTACACTACACAGTCACTGTAGTCACGCCAGTGAGAAAAAGATACTGTGGAACTCATGGCAAATGTAAATACAAAAAAAATGTCAGTGAGTACAATATTTATAAAAAAAAATCTTGCAAATTGAACCTCCGTGGACAAGTTGATAAGCCCTAATATTGCAGAACTATCAGTTGTGACCTGAATTTTAAATCTCATCAGGATTTCCATATAAAGTTACACAGATAGAAAAAAATGCATTATTAAAACAAGGAAAAATTATGCTTTTTTGTCAAGGCTATATACTAATTTCTCTTATTTTGGGGTATTTTTGTGAGTCTACATGTATGCATTAAAATATGTACATCCTTTAAAATTATCAAAACTTCAAATGTAATCATAGTACAAAATGTAAAGTAAACAAAATTATCAAGAGTGATTTTGGATTTGCTGGAAAAATAGCCAAAATGCTGTGACATTGTCTAATTGTTGGTGGGAACTGCCAAGCCAGTTTATAAAACAAGCCGGTAGGCTGGTTGGCGATCCGCTCCACTCCGCTCAAAAACTAGCCCTGCGTACAGTGCTGTGTGTACGGGGACGCGTTCGGTTGATAGATGTCCCCACCACAGCCCTGCGTACCTCCATAGACAAAGTCCGGGAGCGCACCGTAATTGGTGCGCAAGTTAAAAATAAGTAGTTTCCCAGCCGAAATCGGTTGAAATGACGATAGTTTATAAAATAGTGAACAAAGAACAACAATTTTCGTAAATATTACTGATCGCGAAAGACGCCCACGCGAAGTGTCTTTTGTTTGTATGTAATAGATCTTATCTGTTTGCTTCCAGGACAAAGTGGCTAATTTTTGGTGTTCTCTGTCAGTTGTGGTTAAACTAAAGAATATATTCACTCAACAGTCTTGGGTTTTCATGACTTTTTATTTCACAATGATATTCCATTTCCCGTCGTGCATACATTTATTATTCAAACCATCAACAGAGAATTTCAAAGCAGCTCTGGTAAGTACAAACAGAAGTGAGATTTGAATTGAGGGTTGAATTAAATTTTGAAGTATTTTACTTACGGTATTCAGTTATAGCTTCGTTGCACAAAGTGATTACTGTGGAATACTTTATTTTCGCTGGAATTAATTTTCGCTGAAAAGGCTTCTTGGGCGTTTTGCTTGGAATTTATTTTCACTGATTTTTCATGAGTTTAAAGTGCCTGTGAAATGGCGGCTATTTTCACGCCTAAAATTATCCATGGATACATAAATATTATTATTTTTTATGTTTCTAAGCATGAATTATTTTTTTAAGTGAAAAAATGTGTTTTAAACTCAATTTACGGCAACTTTATTTTTGTGTATTTTAAAACGAGGCTCCTCATTAGCTTCTTATTTGCATACAGAAATTCCCCTTGTGACGTCAGAAGGGGAAGTCGCATGGCAGCTTGCATTGCCGATACGTGTAAATAAGGCAAATTCTTCTGCAGTTTTCTCGTCTTTGACTAAATTTTCGCTTGTGTACTTGTTCGTCGAGGAGGAATGGATCATAATGAACACATAGTATCAATTTTTGTTGCATGGGGTTGAGTTAGATGCGAAATATGTTCATTCTGGTATAGCTGGTCACCGTGATCGTCAGCGGCGCACGTTTGTACACTGTCGCTGGACAAAATAGAATTTGTCGTCAGAATTATCTCGTTATTTAG